AGCTTAGATCAAAATGGTATGAATTAAAAACAGCTCTGAATGCTATGACCTAGGCATGGGCCTATCTTGCCTGAGGTCACCAGAAAATGTGTTTAGGGAGACTCCTTTAAACCTGAGATAGGTATAGGTGGAGCTTAAGGGTCCCTGCCCCTGGGTCTCAGCTGAGATGCCCATCAGCACTGTCCCGGTAGTGGTCACTGTGATGTGCCACGTAGATCGCCTTCCGGACAAAAGGACTTATTCCTCCAGATGCCAACACGTAGCCCTTAGCTGTCAGCCTCCTCCAGGTACTGCTTTGTCTCAAGAGACTGGCTGCACCCAAGGCCATGTTCCCTTCCCTTGGGCCCCAGTGCCTGACCCACCAAGGGTGTAAAGGTCCTCACCTCCAACTCAGGATAACCTGGGGCCCCTTTCATCTTCGAGTTTCTGGTTGGTTTGGGTAAGATCTTTTACTGAAACTGTATCACAGCACAATTTCTCTCTCTGTCCAATCCTGCTTCTGTTTATTCCCTTTCACAGGTGTCAATCCAAAAGCCCTCCCTAATAAATACCCTACATGCTAATCTCCATCTTAGAGTCTGCTTTACAGGGAACTGGCCACACTTCCAACCACTTCCCTTAGAACCACAAGCAAAATGCCAGAAAACCTAAGTATCTGGTGAACTGTCACAACCAATAATTGAGTTAATGAATGTATTACTCCACCATTTATGTACTCGTAGGTCATCACCCAAAGCGATTTTCAAAAATTCATGCTGATCTTCAGGGTTTAAACTACAGCCAAGCTAAAACTGAGAGTATGTTTTCTCTAAGTCTGAACATACAGAGATTCTGATTCGGATTTACACGTGGACACAAAAGGTCAACCGAGGCTCGCCAAGACACTTCCACTCCCCAGAATCTCTGAAGGATTTAATCTCTTGCTCTGGCAGCAAAAGATATCAAAATGGAATTTCTTGCTGGATGAAAGGTTGGGGGACCCTATAAAGCTGAAATCAAAATCAGACAAAATGAAGACTTTACTAAACTACCTGCAAATTTTAGCAAACAGATGCTGAAATGACATTTGTGCTGACGTGGTCCCAAGATATTACGCAGCTAGCAGAAATGTAGGGGACAGGCATGCTGTCTGACCCCGCTGGTAACTCTGCCTCCCAACTTCTGAGCACACACAGGGAATTGCAGAGTCCTTTCTTTTTCTCTCACTCTCTTATCTCCTCTGCTCTTCCTTTTCTCCAAAGCAGAGGCCTAAGGAATCTGAAAGACCTAGATGCCATTCTATCCTCATCCCTTATTAGTTATGTGAGCTTGAAGAAGTTATTAACCTGAGTCTCATTTTCCTTACCTGCAAAAAGGGAGGTAAAAAAATTCTTTGGTGCTGTTGGCAGGAATGAAAACATTAACCCCACTGGCAGAGGCATGCAAAGCATGTAATAGCACCGTGCTTCACACTAACATGAACTAGTAGTGGTTCTCACCTTAGCTGCACAGTGGAACGAACTGGGGACCTTCAAAAATACTGAAGCTGGGAAAGCATCCCCAGAAAGTCTGATATAATTGGTTGGGGATGCTGAAGCATCAAAAACGTATAAAGCTCTCTCCAGGTGATTCTACAATGCAGCCAATGTTGAGAACTACTGCTCTCTGCAGATACTTTTACTGAAGCCACATAACTACCCCACGGGTTTAGTACAATTATCTGTCCTCCCCTCATTTTTACAAACAAGGAAATTGAGGTTTAGAAAGGTTAGAAGATTGCTCAAGCGTATGAAACTATTAAGGGGCAAAGCTGAGAGTTAAATTCACACAGTATGACTCCAAAGACCTTACCCATCATCAGCACGTTGCTGTCCTATCATCCCACCTACTGAATGTAAAGAACCTTCTTCCAGCATGAATTGAGCATGCAGAAGATACTCCAAAATTGGTAGCTAATTCGTTCTTTGCTTTTTAGCTTTCCTCTTCTCCATTCTCTGCTTTTCACAATCCACAACCTGAAATATTGCTTGCAGTTCACTAGGAGTGAGGGATGGATAAGATTTAGAAGCAGAGTCAAGAAGGACCTAGGAAAAACTATTCTTTTTCCTTCTCCTCCCCTTCCTAAAACCAGGCTGTGAGCATACACTTGATTTCTGCTTAAAATCTTTTGAGATAACTATTAGAGATACTATATTGGATATATCAGAAAGCCAAAAAGAAATTTTGCTACCATCCCTTCTCAAATTTACGTCAATGTTTCCTGTGCCTATGTCAACTTCTAGGTCTTGTTCATGAGCACATATGGTTTTTACAATCACAAAATCATAATTATATATTCAGATTTGTCTACTCACATTATGCCATGCATATTTTTCCAGACTGTTTTTAAGCCAATTAAGCCGCCTAGTACAGCTCTGCAAATAATGAAGATAATTTACTTTATAATTGGGCCCAAGATATTTTCATTACAAGTTTTCCTCTTACCGGAAAAAAAGAAGTTTAGCCTTATTACTCTGAAAACTGATATAAAAATCTGTAGCCATGTAAAAGTCACAGGACATGACATCTGCCTTCCTTTATTTGCTGTGCACTGCTCAGTCCCCACAGCCCTCACTGCCATGCTTGGCACCAAAGTAAGAGCTCAAAAAGTGCATGATGCATGAACAAATTACACTTTTCTTGGCCGAACAGTAAATTTGTAAAATCAGAATTCTTAGGAGATTCCGAAGTTAAGCCTGAGAACTGAGCAGGGTGAACAGGAGCGAAGTGGGCAGGAAAGCAGCCGGAAACCCCATGGTAAAGGCCAGCTATGTTAGCCAGGAGGAAACATGTGGTTTCCTGAATTGTACCCATGCAAGGCCATCAACATTTGAGGCATGACATATATAAACACTATCAAGGATCACAGCTCTTCCTTCAGTCACTCTTTGGAGTTGTTTCTAAAAAGTTGCTTACATTTGTGGGCTCCTCTCTCCCTGCACGAATCTTAGAAGGGGTACAGAGGTGAAGGCAGCTGTAACAGAACAACAAGGCTGCAAAGAATTGGAGTAGGTATGCTTCAGAGAACACTCTGGGACAACGTCCTTAGAGGAGGTTTTTAAGCTAGTCCATTGGACCTCCTCTGGGCACCACAGTGGGACTTCAGGAAACTGGTAACACAGTATAATTAGAGTAAATTGTGAGTGTTTGTGTTTGTATGTATGTGTGTGTGTGTGTGTCTGTTTGTCTGAAAAGGAGACCTCAGATGTCATCAGATTTTGTGTCTTGGTTTTAGAGCCTGCTCCTTCTTCCACTTCATCAACTCAAGTGATGCTCCTCTAAACCCTTCATTCTTCATTAAGGGCTGGAGGTGGGGATGAGTGGGAGACAGTGGATGACAAGGGAACTCACCCTGTGGGAGGTCAGCATAAATCCCATATCCCATTTGCAAGGAGATTTACTAAGAGAGATTGAGTAAACTAAACCAGGGCCACAGCTATCCAATTCCAGAACTATCCAATTGCAAAGATTGGACTCTTCATCTCTATCCCATGGCCTGAATTTCTGGCCACACTTTCAGTCTGGAGGCAGCTTCTCTGGCTTTCACATCAAAAACTCAAGAGTCTTGCTCTCTCCCCCTGAGTCTATCCATCCAAACAGGCACTGAGCCCAAGAATGAGCTTCTTGAAGCCAAGCATAATCTATTTGCTGGTGTAATATGGTCCCAGTAATCAATCCCACTCAAATTCCACACTCAAAGCCAGTTGCTCTCCCAGCTTATCAAGGATTATAGAAAGAAATCACACTTACCAGCGTGAACTCCCTTGCCTCTATGATGCAGGCAAGTTAAAGGCCAGAAGGGAACCAATGTTTTCTAGTAGTCACAAAACAGAGAAAGTTCTAAATCAAGTCTACTGTTTTCTGGTTTCAAAATCCATGCTAAAAACTGCAGTTAAATTTTCTGCTACTAAAACAGGTGAAAATCCTGACAATTGCATTGTACGGAGCACTTCCTAGGTGTCTGCCCTTTACAAATGTGATCCCTGCACCTCAGAAGAGCCAAGCAGGCTGGCTAGAGGTTACTTCGTGAGAAGTTAAGCAAGGCCCTCAGGCTCACAAAAGCAGTGAGTGGAAGGCCGAATCAGGACTCGAACCCACGTCTATACGATAACAGCATTAGTGCTCTTAACCATACTCCTCCCACCGTCTACACACAACCACTGTGATTCATGGTACCCAAGGCTAGCAGCATCTCTTCTTGGTTTTTCCTGGAGCCACTTCCCTGAAATCTAGCCAACCTCTCCAGAGGAGAAGGTATGGAAGCAAGACTGATGGACTCTATAAATACAAGATCCCGGTTCCAGGTCCACTTCTGCCACTTACTGGCTCTGTCACCTTGGGCAAAGACAGCTTAACAACCCGAGGTCTCACTTTCCTCACCTATACAATAAAGATCATTGTTCAACTTGCAAGGACCTGCAAGACGACGCGCGCTAAGGCTTAAGTATTACGCAAATGTGAGTTACCTTTACCCCTCCTTACCGCACGAATTCAGAAACCAGTGGTTTTTCTCCGCCTCCCCTCCGCGCGTCTCTCAAGAGTTCGCCACCACGTGCTCCTCACGCCCCTCTCTTCCCTAGTGGCTGCGGCTTCATCTCCCCTCCACTTCAGCAGTTCTCTTGCCTCGTAGGAAGGACAGGCCTTGGGTGCTCAGGCTCTGGCTACGTTTCTTTCTTTCCGACTGTGGGCGCGAGGGCTCGACTCTCCTCAGGGCCCGCGGGTCAGCGCGGAGATCTTTGCGCGGCTGCTGGGGGCTCCGCAATGGCAGCGCGGGGTGAGCACTCGGCCGCGCGGCCCGCCCCGAGAGGCGGGGTGTGACCCGAGAGTTTAGAAGGAGGTGCCTGCCGTGCTTAACACCCCTGTGCCCGCGGAGCTGCCTCTGCGGCGCAGCCTCTCGTCCGGAGCCGCCGGGGGTTCCCATACGCAGACGCCGGGGCCCTGGCCCTCCCGCAGCCCCGCTCCTGCCCGCTGCGCCGCCCGCCATGCGGCCGCCGCTCTCCCGCTGCCACAACACCACCTCGGTGGAGAAGGGCAACTCGGCGACGATGGGCGGGGTGCTCTTCAGCGCCGGCCTCCTGGGCAACCTGCTGGCCCTGGGGCTGCTGGCGCGCTCGGGGCTGGGGTCGTGCCCGCCGCGGCCGCCGCCCTCGGTCTTCTACGTGCTGGTGTGCGGCCTGACGGTCACAGACTTGCTGGGCAAATCCCTCGTGAGCCCCTTCGTGCTGGCCGCCTACGCGCAGAACCGGAGCCTGTGGGGACTGGCGCCCGCGTCGGGCAGCTCGCTGTGCCAAGCCTTCGCCTTCTTCATGTCCTTCTTTGGGCTCGCCTCGACGTTGCAGCTCCTGGCCATGGCCCTGGAGTGCTGGCTGTCCTTGGGGCACCCCTTTTTCTACCGACGGCACATCACCCTGCGCCGCGGCGCGCTCGTGGCGCCGGTCGTGGGCGCCTTCTGCCTGGCTTTCTGCGCGCTGCCCTTCGCGGGCTTCGGGAAGTTCGTGCAGTACTGCCCCGGCACCTGGTGCTTCATCCAGATGGTGCACGAGGAGCGCTCGTTGTTGGTGCTGGGCTACTCAGTGCTCTACGCCAGCCTCACGGCGCTGCTGGTCCTCGCCATCGTGCTGTGCAACTTGAGCGCCATGCGCAACCTCTACGTGATGCACCGGCGGCTCCCGCGGCGCCAAGTCTCCGGCACTCGCGACGGCGCGGAGCCTGGCGCCGACGAGAGGGAGGCGGCCGCGCAGCCCCTGGAGGAGCTGGACCATCTGCTGCTGCTGGCCCTCATGACCGTGCTCTTCACTATGTGCTCCCTGCCTTTAATAGTGAGTCCCTTCGTGCGGAGGCATCTGGGGGCCCTGGAGCCCGGCCGGCGGCGGGTGCGGGAGGGAAGGGTGGAGCGTGCTGGACGCCGCGCAGGAGGAGCTGCGCCCTGGGCCAGGACGGTTTGTCGTGGAGCTCCCCACATCTGGTTACCTCCACAGCCCCGAGGACTTGGAACCGAGTTTGTTGAGCCCGAACAGGGAAGGGAGAGACCGAGTCTGATGGTGTCTTCCTAGCCCCGCAAAACCTCTCCGGTTAGCAGCATCCCCTCATCTCTCTTCCCTCTGGGAAGATCTCGGGGTTGTTTTGAGGAGCAGAATTTTGTTCCTCCTTGGCAGTACGAGTCCTTTCTTTCCCGGTGGCTAGGTAACGTTTTATTTCTTAGACCTGCCGATGATTTTAATGGCATCAGATACGGGCTAATGCACCTGGTCGTTTTTCCCCAGGTGCTGGCGTGGGAAGAGAGTAAGGGAAGGTGTACTCATGCCAGGGTGATTTGCACAGGTGAGAGACTAAAGGTAGACGGAAACTTGGAGGCGTGGCGGCTGCTGTTCTTGGTGCTGCGGCCGCGGAAGATGGTGGCGACAGAGGCGGAGAGGCTGTCTGGATAGGTAGGGGTGTAGGTACGGTTCAGCCAGTGGTGTTGTTTGGATAACCTGCCTTGACAGGTCTTGTGTCTGTCTCGGCAAGCGGGGTGACACGGAAGTCATTATCCCGGGTTTCAGTTTACTAATGGCGGTGGTGGTGGAAATGGAATTAACCAGTCGTTTTGAAGGCATTTCCCCCTGGGATCCCGGCCAAGACTTCTGGCAGCGGCTGATGCTGAGAAGACTTTCTGAGGGTTGCTCCTCTCCCCCAGGCCCAGTGTACTTGTTCAACACGAACAACATTTAAATCAATTCACTGCCAATTCAGTGCCTTTGAACCCTGAGACTTCTGTGAATAGGAATGTTAAGTTTCTTATGGCAATGCAGCAATTTTGGATGTTACTTTCAAGATTGCATAGAAGTGAAATATAATGTGATTGTCCTTAAACGAAGGCCTTAATGTGTGGGAAAAGAGTTGTCTGTGGCATCATCATGCAGGGTTAAGATCAGAATTCCCCAAAAATGAATAAATAAATCTATATGAATAGAGAAGATATGGGCATAGATATTTAGCAGTGGTTCTCAAACTTTAGCCTGCTGGGAATCACCAGCAGGGCTCTTAAAAACACAGATGGCTGTCCCCACCCATCCCCCGAGCTTCTGGTTCAGATGTTTTTGAAGAATTTTATTCTTAACAAGTTCCCAGGTAAGGTGAAAGCTGCTCATCCAGGGATCCCATCTGGGAGAACCACACTCTAAGGCAGGAGTTGGCAAACCACAGCCCACAGTCCAAATCCATCCTGCTGTTGTTTTTGTACAGTGGGTGGAATTAAGAAGAGTTTTTGCAAATGAACCGATTTTGAAATCAATTTGATGATAGTGCACAGGAACTCTAAACTCCAACTAGCTCAAATACTATTCCAAGAAAAAAAAAAGACTTCGATTTTTCTCCATAGTAGACATGAATTACCCCCCCAAAGTACTTAATTATTATTACATTTTAAATTTCACCAATGAAAGTTGTGAAAATGTGTTTTCTCTCTTGTTATAAAAGTACCTACCAAACACTCACCATTTGCCTCTTGATCTATAAAACTTAAAATATTTACTCTTGAGCTCTTTACAGAGAATGTTTGCAGACCCCTGCTCTAAACTCATAGCCTTACTTACCTATGCTGTGGAAAAGCAGACAGTAGACAAATGCATGGATATTATGTCCTCAGTTTGAATGTCTTAGTAATAATAATGCAGAAAAGAGCATAATAGAGTATAATACAAGAGCATTGCATTTGGACATGTCTCTCAGGGGACTTGAATAACTAACTTATAGGGGATTGTGAGGATGGAAGGAAATAATGGATTTGAAAATGATTTTATAAAAAACTGTAATGTTCCAAGGATATGCAACTCAGACAGCATTCTTCACAGGAACTAAAACTTTCTAGAAAGGATAAGGGCTTTAGCATAATACATGGGTTTGAATTAGCCTTTATCACTTACTAGCTGTGATAGTGGCTTATTTATCTTTTCTAACTTCAGTTTTCTTTATTTTTTTAAAAGATTTTATTTATTTATTTGACAAAGAGAGAGAGACAGCGAGAGAGGGAACACAAGCAGGGGGAGTGGGAGAGGGAGAAGCAGGCTCCCTGCTAAGCAGGGAGCCTGACACCAGGCTGGATCCCAGGGGATCAGGACCTGAGCCAAAGGCAGTCACTTAAAAACTGAGCCACCCAGGTGCCCCTAACCTCAGTTCTCTGATCTGTAACAAGGATAACCATACTTGCCCTATAAGATAGTTATGAAGATTTGATATATATAAAGCCCCTAGCCAGGTGCCTGGCATCAAAAATCAGTACTATTATTCCTAATTATAATTTCCATTTATTATTATTGCCTGCTGGATATAGAAAATTAACCAAGAAATATGATCTCCTCAGGAAATAGCATTATTTTCTTTCTAAAAAATTTTTTTTAATTTGAACTCCAGTCAGTTAACATACAGTGTAATATTAGTTTTTGGTGTACAATATAGTGATTCAACACTTCCAGACATCACCCAGCGAGCATTATTTTGTAATGCAGTGGTTTTCTAACATTTTTTGGTCTAAGAACCCCTTTTCACTCTTTTTTTTTTT